ACCTCAAACCTTCAGAATTAAGAAAGGAAAATCATCTATGGTAAAAGTCATGAGTGTGCACCCTCATCACTCCTATCAAGACGTTTTCTGTTCTCAAAACCTCCAGTTAGATACAATACTATACTATCTAGACTTGGAGGAAATGGTAAATTATACCATTTACACTCAATTCTTCACAGAGAAGACACGACAAGCCCTCAACTCACAGGTCATCCTAAGGACAAACTGCTCTGATACCATTAATGTAACATCCCAAAATATATAGCAATGTATATATGTAGAATGCATCGATTATAATAATAGAAAGCAGTTAAGAGTACACAATAGATAGGATTAAGGAGTACAGTTATCCAAGTCTGGCTGGGAAGTTTTAAAACTTAAGTACAAGTTCATAATTCTCCAAAATACATGATTGAATAAAGATTCAATGGGACCTAAAGAGTGTTTCCAAAATACAGATCATGATAAAATGAAGTCTAGAAGTCTTTCAAAATGAAGAGCTATTTAACATAAGAGCTAGTAGAAATCCTAAGCACTAGGTGCTGGGTCTTCCTCAACTTCCAAAGCTTGCTCCAAAGGTACATCATCACCTACTGCTCACATCCAAAGGATTGGATGATCATCGCAAGGGGGAAAGCAAACACATGCAACACATACAAATGCAAGGGTGAGCTAGGTCTCAAACAATCATACAATTCATTTTCAATCAATCTAGCATTTCCCAGAATATCCATACGCACATAAACACCTTAGTCATCATAAACATAAGCATTTATTTCATAAAACTCATCAAGACAAGCATCCTATCATGTTAAGACTCTAGACACGTCCGGACATAGAATGTATGTAGAGCTGGGGCGGGTTGTGCACTTGTGATGGCCTCTACTGCTTTGCAAAGCCATTGCCGAGGGGTTCCACCCGACCATACACAAGGCTAGTCCGTTACCGCGGAATAGACCTTCAGTGATAGCGCCTACCCTAGGACCTCCCACTACTCCCACCACACGCGTCAATCCTCTCTAAGTGAGAATGAAAGACCGTTGGAGTGTTAGGGATAACCCCCCATATGGAAGCCTCTCACATTCATTCAATACACTAACTGATCCCACCGAGAGATCTTAATTTCATATTCAATCCGACCACTTTAAATCACATGATATTCCTCTTGGATCAATAATGTACCTCATAAACCACTTTGATTCAATCAACATAAAATTTCATAGTCATTCAAGTGCATTCTTACTATATTGTCTCATACCAAACCCATACACCCTCATACAACATTAACCATGTCATAAAACAACTCATACATTACATACTTTCACAAAACCATCACTTATCAACACAAAATTCTTTAGGACTTTTAATTACCAATACTTAAGTAATTCAAACAGCTTGGAGACCCTCACCAATGGCTCCGGAAGGGTCAAAAACCCCCAGAACGAACTAAAGAACGTCCAAAACGGACATCCGGAACTCCCAAAACATCAAAAACACCAAAAACACTCCACCTGCGACACATAATTCGCTCAGCGCACCCCCCCTTGTGCGCTGTGCGAATTTCCCAGACAAAAGGACCGCTAAAATTCGCATAGCGCACCCTATTTCGCATGGCGAATTGATTCGCAGCGTACATCACTTCAAACCTCTCGCTATGCACCTCACTCGCTCTTCGAATTAAATAGGCAGTGATCCTAAACCACCACCAGTCGCATAGCGACAGGATTCGCCATGGCGAGTCCAAAAACAGTGAGCATCACCCTCTGGAAATTCGCACAGCGCACTAACTCGCACAGCGAATTTCCAAAACAGTGAGTACCCCTTTTCAGGGTCTCGCTATGCGAGACAACTCGCATAGCGACACTGCATAATCTGCAGTACGTGAATTCTGCATAATCACTCACTTACACTAACCCTTACCATTTCTAGGACTCTTGGTTAATTTCTAAGACCTCTTATTCGATTATTACTGGTAATTCTTCTTGTCTAGATGATCCAAACCCTCCCTAGTATTAATGTAAAGTGATTAAATTCAGTTTTACCATTTAAAGCATCAATCCTTGCCACTTATGAACACATTCTCATCTCAACCATTATCTCAGGACTTACTCAGTTCTCTGACCCCTCACCAGTTCTATTGACTCAACTAAACTATCCCAACTGCCCAATTGGTCACCGGAGAAGAATCAGATGTCTGAACGCATCAGTCTCACCTTCGCCGCCAACACATATGACTAGTCACAACGTACTGGACCAGGCCAGGGCTGCTCTATGATCAGGGATGTGCCAACTCAGGTTTTTAAGATTCTTCTATCCTACCAACACAGTGCTCTCAACAAGTCCTAATTGCCTTATAGTACTCTAGACCCCATTCACCCAATTTTAGTACTCCACTTCCCTCAGAGTAACCTAAATCAGTACATGTATCCACTCACCATCCTTTTTAATTATTTCCCAGAGATCTTATTCAAATCCAGAAACTCAGTACAGCCAACATAATGCTCATCCAAGTCAAACAATGTTCAGCACACTATGGTTACACAACTCCCACACATCCAGCAGATACAAATCAACATGCTCATCACAAAACATAACTAAACAGTACATAACAGTTCAAATCAACACACCGATTCAGGACTTAACATGCATATATCTCAAATTAATTTCAAACAAAAGACTAGCTCCCCTTACCTCAGAGTGTATTTCCAAGCTCACAAGGACGCCCCTTTTTGGGTATCTCACACACGCGAACTCAATCCAAACCCTACAAACCACCAAAGTGGTGACAGCAACAGCTCTTAGAGCTTTATTTGGCAGAAACAGGAAAACGACACCCCTTAGTAACGTACAACCCGTACTGTTGCATGCTTTAGGTTCGAAAATAGTGAAAGAGAAGGGAAAAACAACTTACCCATCCAAACGAAAATACGATCGGTTCAAAAGGAAGCCTTCGGTGTGGTGAACGTCTGAGCACCTTCCAACCCAAGATTGAACGGTTCAGAGAATTGGAAATTTAGAGAGAAGGCAGAGAAAACATTTAGGGCAAGGGTTTTAGAGAGAGAAAAGGAAAGAGCTCAGGAAAGTTGAAAAAGAATTCTGAGAGGCCCTTCCTAAGGTTAAGCTGGCCTTAGGCTGATGGGCCTGGCTGCCCCACATAGGGCCCAATGGCCTTAAACTTTTTCAGGCTCTTACAATTTTTGTTATATTTATTAATTGTTAATTTTGTTTTATTTATAAAGTTTTTGTTTTTTTTGTTAGACTACATTTTAGATTTAGTCAAGTTTTAAGTCTGAGAACTTTCAATAAAGTTCTTGTTAAATTTTGGTGATTTATTGAATCATGAGAAATTTAAACTTTTTCAACTCCGTCCTTTTGACCAAAATTGATTAAGGTGACAGATAAGATAAAAATTACATCACCAAATTAACAATCAATTGAATAATTTTAAATTTTTGAAAATCCATAAACCACAACAATTAAAATGTTAATAAAGACTCAATTGCAAGTTTCAAAATTTATCAATTTTTTTCTGCTGTTATTTGATTAAATTTCAGTTAGATTCCTACTATTCTTTATTACAATCTTAATTCAATGTTTTTTTTTTCATTTATACAATTTTTTATTCAAATGATGTATTTATAATAAGTCATATAATATTATGTTTCATTTGTTATAATTTTTATGATATTTTTTAATTAAAAATTAAAATATTAAAATATTAAAAAAATAATCTTTATTTATTAAATGTAAGGATACACTTAAAAGTAAAATTGTACGTATATCGACACATATCTACTCGTCCCATTTCATTTGTGCTGTACTTTTCATTTCATTTTCACCATCTACCTTTCTAACACGATCAGATCCAATTCAAGATTATTCCGAGTCGCACAATCCAGATAATGAAGTTCCAAGAGTTTTTTTTTTTTGTCAGTAAAAAATATAATAAATAGAAGAACATTTAGGGTGATCTAATTTATATAAAAAATTTACAAAAACCTCGTAATCTAGATATCCTTTTAATTTTACAAAAAAGCTTAATATAAGTATCAAGACAAACTCCTCTAACTCTCAAAGCATATCTACAAGAGCAATTCCTTTTGAAACTCAAAAGCATTTCAACCTCATTAATTAAACATGTAAAGAATACGAGAAATATTTTCCTCAACATTACCGCACATTAAGCGTAAGCTAATCATGTCAAAATACCCTCCTACCCAACTTATTCTTAGTTTTATAATAAAATAAAAGAGAAATTGTGCGAGTAATATGCATCACTTGTTTTACTATTTTTTTAAAGTATATTAAAGATAAAGTAGTACATGACAACGTCACTTTTTTTTATCCTGAAATTGTAGTTTACGAACGACCTGTCTATTTTATTAATCTTTTAAAAATTTCATATTTTAATAAATTTTATTAAAATTAAACTATTTTCATAAACAGGTTAATTTTTTTTTATCCTCATCTCTTCTCTCACTTCAACCTAGAGTAATTTAATGTTATAACAAGGTAATGTTAATACTTCCATTTTAGCAAATTTTAAAAAAATTATCTATTTCGGTAAATTTTAATTAAACTATACCACTTTCGTAAACAATATCTTCCTCTCTTTTTCTCATTTGAACCCATCATTAGAGTAATTCAATGTTATAATATAACCTCAACACATTTCAATACTCTTTTTATAAAATGTACTAATTTTAATGAATTTACAGTAAAATCCACCAGATTCATAAACAAAGTCATTTCTTTCCTATCTTCATCTATTTTCTCATTTCAACCCACCAGAAGAGTAATTTAATTTAAAACGTAATCTTCATAAACATTAAGGTCAATTATGTGGTAAATATTACTTTTCCTCATGAATGAGAAATAAAATAAAAAACACACACCATGCCATATATATCTTTAATACCTTTATAAATTAAACTTAATTCATATTATATATATAGAAACCTTTTAAGTACATTAATTTGATTTTTTGTTTAACTGGGCATTTATTGAAGAGATAGAAGCATCCATATGTGGTTTGAAGTGAATGATTTGGTTCAGTGGTTAATAAGAGGCTGGATTTGGTCGTATGTACCGATTGCAAAGAGTTGGTGGACTAGCTGAGTGATATGGTATCCATCGTAGAACAAATACTGGTTTCTATTGGGGCACGGTGTTCCATTAAGAACACACTGTCCATCGTCTCTCGTAGGGCAGCAAGGAGCATTCAGAACAGTGATACCTGAAACACATGCATGCTTAGTTGTTTGCGTAGAAGAAGAATCAAGTGTAAGAAATTGTTCATACCAAATTGGTCAAGGGGGCCGTCTGAGCTGTTTATGAAGATGAACTTGGAATCAGTGAACTTGTTATTCAATGTGTTCACTAAAGAATTGAGCTTGTTGTTGAAGAGGATGGCAGCGTCATTGAACTCAGCAACACAACTTCCATTTGTTCCACGTGTAGATATGGCTTGTGGAGTGCACCCTAGAGAACCCAACCCAGCTGCCGCCACTTTTCTTGCTCCTCTCTCATGCAGTTCCTGTCATCCAATACATACTATTATGTGCTGTCATCTTCTCTTTCATTTATCTTCTCATCTTATATGAATCCTCATATTTAGAGAGATAATAAAAACTATAATGTTTAAGGAAATTAAACGAGAAGAAAAAATCACAATGAAATCGTTTCGTACGAATGATGTTTTATGCATTGTTCATTTAGAAAATGAGAAATTGAGAAAAAGTAATAGAACTAAACTTAAATAAACCAATTTTGTGCAATTAACGTTGTTAGTGGACTTTTTAAAGTAGCTAAAAGTTTCTGGGCTGGGCCTAAGCTTGTATTTGGTTAACGTCTTAGTTGCATGGAAAATTTTGTTTATTAATTAATTAATCACTTTGGCATTAGATTTTGTTTTAGCAGATGGAACGATAATAATCTTATAATATCATTTATCATAAGTTGAATCTAAAATTTTTTATTTTAAAATTATTTTTTGACAACTGCAAATATTATTAAAATATGTTTATAAACATTAAATACATTAAAAAATAAATTGTATCCCTCCATTCCTTTTAAATCTCTTGTTTTTAAATTTTTTTATTTTCTTATTATAATTTTTAAATCTTAATAAAATATTAAATATTTTTATATCCTTATATTCATCATTCACCTAATATTAAATTAGTTTACAAATATATACATTTCATGATTTTTTTTAAAAAATATTGAATATATACTTAAAATGGGGGCATTAAAAATTAATTGCATTTATAAAAACAAAAGTAATTAATTTCCATCTAAATCTGCAATATCTTACCTCTGTTATTTTCATTACAAAATTTATTTTTAATGTCATAATATATTTTTTTATGAAATTTAATATTTATTTCAACGCCAGTTTTTTTGGTTTGAGATTAAAGAGCATGTAAATATTTTTTTTATATTTTTTTGTAAAGTAAATGATAGATCTTCTTAATATCTATGCATACAAAATAATGAAAAACATTTTATCCATGTAACTATTAAATTATACAATAATATATTGATGATAATATACATACATATACACACACACACACACACACACACATATATATATATATATATATATATATATATATATATATATATATATATATATATATATATCAAACGCTGAAATGAAAAATAAATTAATTTCATATATACTAATATATGCTTGATTTATTCTGTGACACGCATGCACGCACCAACACAAAATACATACATCCACAGGCACACAGAGAAATAGGAAGTAAATTTAGTTAAGTAAAGAGTTAGTAAATGAAACTATTTTTTAAGCGAACCCTAACTCTTGAACTCGGGAGGGTTCTTATTAAATGCCATTCAAAGAACCCAAATTACCTCCAACGTATTCCTGATATAATAAATAATGAATACTGTTTATAGAAGTTTGATTTCAAATATTTATAATTATGTATGCTGTTAAGATTAAACCCCCCGATCGTGAATTTGTCAGACAATTATTGAAAAGCAAATAGAAAATTGTAAAATACCTCCATATATTGGGATAACTTGTTTATGAGAATATTGGTATATCGCTCAAGGGTATAGATTCGGCTTGAAGGGTATTGATCGGGAAGAAAGAAATTGTTTATGTAATCGTTGCTGCCTATGTTCACGTAATACAAACACTGGTTAAGGTACTCTTTAGCTTTCCTTAAACCTCCAAGTTCCCTGGCGATTTTCAAATATATGGCTCTGTGATTTTTCAGCTGTTCTTCCAAGTGGACATTGTCACCCTGCGTTGACGATAATTTAGTGGCATGCCTCAGCATTGAAACACAAATACTCTAAAACTATACGAAAAGCAGTTAGATATATAAATGAAGAAAGAAAGAAGGGTATATATATTTTGTTGATATACAAGACGCTTTCCGGTTTCAGAGAGAATCCCAGCTGCTCCGGATGCATGATTCACACCCTTAAGTATGTCTGAGCCACTAGTGTTTGCAAAGGGAGGGATATATTCTGAAAATTCAAGAAGTTGGGCTGCAAAGTGTGCATGGAGTGAGAAAATAGAGATAAAGAAAATATAAGTTTTTACTTAATTTTATTGTTGTTGATGAAAAATAAGGTAGAGAATATCACCAAGGTAATCAACTAGGTTTTGTCCATTGGTAAATCGTCCAGAAGGGCCTCCTGGGAAGTCGATGCCATATGGATTGTAATTGCTTTTTGCAGCTGTTCGAAGCTTGTTGTTATTTCCATTGTCACATAAAGAGTCCCCAAAGATAAAAAAGCCGGGCACTTGCTGTCCATTGACATAATGTTGCATGCAATTTGCAAGCAATAGAAGAATAGCTGAAACCAATGATGCTTTAGACTTAATTGTCATCTTAGGCTAGGTAGGTAGAAAAAGGCAGATGAGAAGAAAGAGTTTCGTGTGTGGCTATTGCAAGATGAAAGATGCATGTATATATAGGGTTGGGAACAAAGTTCTGTGTCCAAACTTTTAATTTACCATTACAATGAAGTCAAAATGAAGTAATAGTTTAAGGACAACCAGTTTGGCATCTTTATTTTGTTTTTAATATTTCTAAACCAAACTATAATGTGTATTTGTTAATTGCTATTTCAATTTCATCTTCACCCAATGCGAAGTTTCATATGAATCTAACACTTCCTGTTTTTGCATTTTCTTCCTCATGTTGAAAAGTCAAGGCCCAAAATGTTCTACATATTTATTTTGTATCTTTCAATTTAACAATTGATATATGAAAAAGGATTCATTTATTTCACTTGGTCTTGATTTTCATTTTTTAATTTTTTTTAGGGTTCATTGTTTAGACTAATTATTTCATATCATTAAGAAGAGAATAATAGTATGAAATTCTATAATAAAATTAAGTATACTCTAAATAAAAAATATTTTTTTAAAAAAAATCTTACTTTATTTTATAAAATATATGTATTTTATTTAGATATAGTTACATTATAATTATATTATAGTATAATCATAAAATTATACATTTAAAAATTAATTGTATAAATATATGATTTATTATTTATTATAAAATTATCTATAAAAATTAATTAATATTTTAAAGGATTTAAGTTTATGGTATTAAACGATAAATGAATATAAATAACTATCACATAAATTAGTAACTTTCATAAACTCGTAAAATTATATTAATTTTTTATATTTAGTTATTATTAATAGTATCTATGATAATGTCAATGCTATCATAGGTACCACTAAGTATATTTAAAACTATAAATTACATTTAATTAAACTTTTAGATTAATGAGATGATAAATGTATACTTAATTCATTAAATCATTTTCTTTTCCCTCTTTACTAATATGTATCTGATAATATGAAAATCTTCCTTAATTGGAAGTGGACACTGACACAAAAAAGATTTTTATAAATATATATATATATATATATATATATATCAAAACTACTAAAATTATTAATACTTTTCTTTTTTATAATATGTGTCGAAAAGTAATTTATAATATGTGATAATTGATTATTATAAATAAAATAATTGATTATTTTAAATAATAATATATTATTTGAAAATTGATTCAAACATAAGAAATAATAAATTGTATTTATGTTATTTTTTTAGATTAAATTATTATTAAGTATTGAATGTATTGACTTTTTTAACAATAGGTTCAAAAGGTTTATGAATAATTAGGTTGACGATTTTCTGATTTTCAAATACTTTTAATATTGGAATGTGTTTAATTAGTAATTTAGTTTTTATATTTAAGTTTATAATTTATTTTGGTGTTTAATTTTTTTATTTAATTGAATTGTAATATTTTTTATATAAAATCAATTTTGTCCCTCTTGTTAAAGTGACGTTAAAGCTATTTAAAAGATTATGCGTGATAAAATTTGAAAAGTTTCATGTGTTCAAACGATAACCTATATTTTGTCAATGTGCATATTTTCAAGACGATAATGTCAATTTAATAGAAGATACTTAATTGAGTAAAAAAAATTATAAAAACTAAAGTGAATCATATAATAAATAGAATCAAATTATTAATTAAATTCATAAAATACTATTAAAAAAAATCCTAAAGTCCTCACATAATAACATAATAGACAGAGTTATTGATGATAATATTAATTATTTGACTAATTTGTCCTGTCAAAATAGTTTTAATCTACAACTAACTCAGCTGATTACGAGCTTGAGTCGGGTTGAACTTGAAAAAAATGTAATTTTTTTATACGAGCTAGTTGTTAATCTAGCTTACTTAGAATCCGACTCTCCGGGTTGAACCCGTGGAGAGCTGGGTTGGCTCACCAACCCACCTAATTTAATTTAATTATTTATTATTTTGTGTTTTAATATTATTAATTAGTATTTTTTTTATTATAATGTACATAGTGATAAAGAAGATGCTTTAAGAGAGAAAAATATTATTGATTTATCTAATATTATAAATGGACAAGTGATAAATTATCAATGTTAATAACTTATTTTTGTACATGCTTTTGGATTATACTGAGACTGTATGATACTTTTTTTTTTATTTTGAATTGTCTCTAGAGTTTAACATCATTTTAGTGTGACCTTTATTTAGATTTGAATTAAAAGATATTGTAATTTTTTATTTTAAAAAAATATTATAATTAAATGAGTTAGTGAATTAACCCGTTTAATCCACCAACCCGTGTTCGGTCGAGTTAGATTCAAATTTTTTCAACTCACTAATAAGTGGGCTAGGTTGATTCACTAAGTGACCAATATTATTTTCATAGGTTGCAATGATAAATATATATATATATATATATATATATATATATATATATATATATATATAAGAAATTGTACATATTTGATTAGTAATGTTTTAAGTTTGAAGATACAAATGATAGGAATCATGTAGATAATTGAGTTACTTATGATAAAAGGATGATCATCCATTTCGTTGAAAATAGATTATATACGAATTTCTTTAACTTTAAGAGGAAGATAAAGGAAGATCAAATTATTAATTATCTATTTGTAATATTTAAATTTTTATGTATTTTATTCATAAAAAAATAAGTATATTAATAAATTAACAAATTTAAGAGTTGATTTTAGAAAAGATTTTGTTTGATTTGAAGACTAAGTAAAGAATTTTTATAATAGAGTTGAATTTGTAGAATATATACTTTTTCGTTATCATACTATGATTTTATTTTATTTTAATGCTATATATGTACCTATTTCTAACTTTTTGTTGTTAGTAATATTATTCAATTTAAAAGCTCATTATCCACGAGTTTTGGAGTAGAAAAAAATAGGGTGCAAAATTGAAAAAAATTATAAAGACATCTAAAAAAGTAAGTTTTAATAATATATAGTTCAGTATTTTCTTAAATATAATACATTCAATATAGTTCTATTTTCATTTATATGAGTTTTTAATTCAAAATTAAAATTTAGGAAACAATCAACATCACTTTTACAACTTGTAACTCTTCAATAACTGAAAAAACATGTTTCGTTTAATATTTTTAAATAAATTTTACTTGATGTTATTTTATCAAATATATATGTTACTATACTATTCCATTACATTACTACGTCAGTTCTAGCCTTCTATTTATATATATTGACGTACTGTTCAAGACAGTATATTTAGAGGAGTGAGTGATATTTGGAAGATACAAGATTATTTAGTTTTTAAGATTGATTTGAAGAAGGGAATTTAAGAAAAAAGCAAGAGTAAAAATAAGGTTGTTTTAGTTAAAATTTTTTAATTAAAAATAAAGATTAATATAAGAAAAACCCATAAAAATTAGTAAAGCATGTTATAGTTTGGTAGATTAAAAAATCACCTGAATTACTAATAAATTTTACAAAATTTTAATTATCTACTGATTTTCAAAAAATTAATCGTCAATAGATTTATTAATAAATTTTAAAAAGGTTTAATTAGCGACTGATTTAAAATAAAAAATTATTATTAACGAATTTACTCACAAATTTTATTACAATATAATTAAAGTTTAAAATGAAAATATTCACATCTTTAATAAAATTTATTAAAATCATTCATCAATAATAAATATTATAAATTATTAAAAAAAAAATACTAACAAATGTTATTAATTCTGTTGATAAAAAAATTAATTTACCAACATATTTTTTTAATAGATTTTGTAAGGGTCTGTAAAATTAATAAAGGGGTCTTTGGGCCTTATGTGGGGCATCCAGACCCATCAGATCAAAGGCACATGATCTTAGCAGGGTCTTTCTCCTAAGTCAGTTTTCCCTGCCAATTTTTCCTTCTCTAACATACACCCTGTTGAACCGTTTAATTTTTGAATAGGTGGTGCTCAAACGTTCACCGCCCGTAACGGACCGAACGGTTATTGTTCCAACCGGTAAGTCACTTTTTCCTTTTCTCCACCGTTTCTAGCACCTAGGGCATTGCTACTTTACTGAATGCATGCCACTAGAAGTGTTCTACTTCAAATTTGAGGTAATTTCTAGCCTAAAAAGCTAATTCTATCACCATTGAGTCATTTACAGGGTGTCTTTGAATTTTGCTATGAGAACACTATTTAGATCTTCATGTCAAGTAAACTGTGAAGTTTTCCAGTGAGCTAATTATTTTTGTATGAATTTATTTTATACAAATATATGCAGGTTGAATGTTGAACTGGTGTGTTCTTGTGAACCTGTTTTACGAGGTTAATTTTTATTGGATAATTATAACTGAGACTGTGGAATTGTGCTTAAATAATTTATGCTTTGGTGTTGAACTGGTACATGTGGCAATTATGTTTGTAAATGTCTCTGTTGAAATTAATCTGTTTTGGTTGAAATTGTTCTGGTTGGAGGGTTTGGAGTAAGGGCTCTATGATAGCATATATATCGGCATGTACTATTTAAGTTTACTGTGAGGGAAAGGATGATATATATAATTGGGTATTTGATGTCTAGAACACTATAGGACAATTTTAATAACTTAGATAATTAAATCATAACTTGTTAAAAAGCCTTTCTTTGTTGGTAGGATAGAGGGGACTTAAAAACCTAAGTTGGCACATCCCTGATCATAGAGCAGCCCTGGCCTGGTCCAGTACGTTGTGACTAGTCATATGTGCTAGCGCCAAAGGTGAGTCTGATGCGTTCAGACATATGAACCCTCTGCGGTAACCAATTGGGAGAAAGTAAGATCTCTACAATGATGAAAATTAGACAAGTATATGTATGTATATTATTAAATGTTATGGAAATATAAGTTAGGAAAGCATGATATATATTATATTAACATATGAAACGTATGATATAAATTGTTATCATAATATAATATATATATATATATATATATATATATATATATATATATATATATATATATTTTATAACATATATATATATATATGTATATATATATA